TATTCTATTCTATTCTATTCTATTCTATTCTATTCTATGACATGCAGTTTATTCACCTGGTAATCGTATAATATCGGAGGATCGACGTGAATGTTTTTCATGGTCCCATCGTGCCATTCAAACTGCATCATGGCTTTCTGCAAAGAAGAGGACAGCACAAAATCACAAAACAGATTAAGGGTAGCCTTCCCCAGACTCCAGGACTGGCCCATGTTCCTCCCCAACCTCCTCACTGTCCAAATCTGATGTCAGCTCTGCTGTCCACTGGCAGGCCAAAAGAACAAACTGTGGTAAGTTGAATTGTAGACTTTGGAAGGGAGCTTACCATTAGCTGGATTCATGGGCGCTATACCCAATTGTTCTGGACGAGAAATTTAAGATCAAACCTGCCAACATTTACCGGATGGTGTTCTCTTGGATTCCCTGCTGACTCATCGCAGGAACGAGCGATTCCCACAAATCCCCCGACAAGCAACCCAAATCAGTTCCGCTTAAGGCCTACCCCGTGCAGAGTGGACGAGACTGTTTTGCGAAGGACCGGCACAAATTCTTCCACGGGCGAGAAAGCGTTGGGGGCTAAGACCTGGTACAGGCTGAGTTTCTTGGCTGCGGGAAGGTAAAGAAGACGACCGTGTCCAGGAACTGGTTCTGAATTGGTACCGTTTCGGAGGGAAGCCTTGGGGTTCTGCCCAGGCATTACTGCTGGTTCGCTCGTGTGCGCACTCCATGCACGGTGGATGCACGCTGTGCACGCATGCGCAGTGCAATTTAATTTTTTCTGCGCATGTGCAGAACAAGATCGGCTTCTACCGTACTGCCGTAAAATGGCTTCTACTCTGCAGAGCAGTGAGTCGCCACAGGGGCCGCCCAGAGAACCGGTTTGGTGGCGTGGCAATCCTGGGTCACTGCCAGTTCCAGCGACCCAGGCTGCCAAACCACTACCGGTTCGGTCAAATCTACCTGAACCGGAAGGGAATCCACTCCTGGTTTTGCCTTACCTCGCAATCCATTGGTTTTCAACCACTCCGCGGAAGATTTGGCCAAGAGGTTGGGGATCTGGATTGCAAGAAGGCGCTCGTGCTGGAAGGGTTTGGACAGTTGCACCAGAGATGACGACCTCATGCGCTCCGCTGAATTCTGAGCAGAGACAGAGTCAACATGTCCTCCGTCAAAAACAGGGCGTCCTTGTTCGGCTACAGGATTTCCTAGCCCTGGGCTGCAGGCAGGTAAGCGAGGCCTCTAAAAGGAACCAGGGACTTACGTTTGTCACTAAATTGAAGAGCGAGTCACCCATCCTGCCCTCGTAGATCTCGTTCACAACCTCCAGCACGCTCTCTGCTTTCTGCCGCTCAGAAAGAACTAGCTGAATATCTGTGCTGTTGCAAGTCTGCTTAGAGGGTGTCAAATGGAGAGACAGAGAGGGGGGGAGGGGGGAGAGGGAGAGAGAGAAGGAGAAAGGGGGGAGGAAGGGAAGGAGGAAGGAAAGGAGGGGGGGGGGGGGGGGGGGGGAGAAGGAAAGGGAGGGGGGGGGGGGGGGGGAAGGGGGGAGAGGGGGGGGGGAAAGGAGGGGGGAGAGAGAGAAAG